AATAACCACATCATATTTTATTTTTTTTAATTTTAAGTCGAAATATTAAAGTCGTCAATAATATCATTTTCCTTATTTTAAAAGAGTGTTGCTTTCATATTTTGATTTTGTTCTTTGTCGATTTTAAGTCTAGGTATTAAATTCATCAATAATATCATTTTTATTTTTATTTTAAATGAGTGTTACTTTCACGTTGGGCTTTTGTTCTTACTCATATTCCGTTTCATTCTCACACTCACTTTCTTTCCTTTTGTGTAAAATTTAAAATTGGACAAATTACGAAAGTCCAACCTAACAATCAATTTGGCCTAAACTTTTTCAGCAAAGAATTATTTCTGTAATATTGTGCAAAATGCTCCTCCATATTAGACTATGGTCAAATTTTCATGAATTTGTGATGTAAAAATATTAACCATTCTTACTAATGAATTAAAAAAAAAAAAATTTTAAAAACATAATGTGCAAAAGTACAATATGACTTGCACCAGATTTAACTTAGTTGCTTTTAATTTTTGAGAGAGAATTAAGAGTTCATTGAATGAGTTGAGAGAGAATCAATATTGAGTCATCTCATAGATTGTTAAAAAAAAAGTTAAGAATTCAAACCTCAATTAATTGAGACATTATGAGAGAGAAATCATTGAATTAGTTTGAAGAAAAATGATATTGGGTTCCCGGTTCATTTCATAGACGGTAAAATTTATGAATGATAGCAGTCTCTAATTTGATATTTATGAATGATAGCAGTCTCTAATTTGATATTCCATAAATCTTACGTAGATATCAAAGGTACTCTAGTTTAATAATTCTCCATAAAAACGCGTGAGTTTATGAGTTTTTTGCCAACGAATAAATAAGTAAAAGGTTAAATGTTTGACACTTTCATGTTCGAGTTTATTACTCTCAAATTAAATGTCAGTCAAAATTGTTATTACAACCCCATCAGATTTGCTTTATTTGCTCTAACACACTAATTGTCTAAATTACCCTTGGCTTTAGTTTTTTTATGTCATTGATGACATGTAGTATAAAACATGTAGTATAAAATATGAAATGAGAATATTACCCTCACCAAAACTAACACTATCTCTTCGCCACCACCATGATAGTAACCATCACCAAACCCACCCAAAACCTCCACCATCTCTCTCTCTCTTTATATATATATATATATATAATGCCTTTAAAATAATAATAAAAAGTATAATTAGTAAGAATTTATGGTAAAACAAAAATTAAGGTAAAAAAAAAAATTAAGGTCTGCAGCCAATAGACTATTGACACGCGGGCGTGGTGTAATAACAAGTGAGAGGTATAAAAGTCTAACAAATAATAGATAAAATGTACTTTTAACGATTTAGACATTTTAATTTATCAATTTAAAAAAAAAAAAAAAAGGTGTTAGAGCAAATTAAACCAAATCTAATGGAGTATGATAGTAATTTTGGCCAAAATTTAGTCTAAGAGTAATAAATTCAAATCTCGAGAGGTGTTAGAACATTTAACCCATAAATAAGTAAATAAATTTTTTGTAATTCCTCCCCCCTCAAATCTCTCTCTAGCATTCTATGAAACTAATTTGAAGGTTATAAAATATCCACGTCATTATTTGATGACGTGTTAGAATTCATTATGTCATTATGTGATAGAGTGGGAGAGATCTAAATCCGAATATAAGGTGTTTGATGAATTACTTGTTTTAATATTTGAGCTTGTTATTTCAAGCATTTGACTTGGAGGCAAAGTCGGTAGAAAAATCAAAGATTTTTTAATTGAGATTGAGATGGTGATGGAAAAAAACTTGAAAAGACCTTAATGCATCAAAGTTAGTGGAATTTGAATGCATCAAAGTTGCTTTTGGACATAATTACTTATTAATTAGGATTTTTTATTTTTTTACCTAGTAAGGAGGGAAAATAAAAGGTTGGAGTGAGTTGAACTTAGACTCCCGCATGACTTAGAGAGTGCTTCTACCAAGTAAACTAATTTTATTTAAAAAATGTAATACCTTTGCATTGTTTTTTTTTTTCTTTCTAAAAATAAATTATTATGTTTTATTTTTATAACAAAATTAATGTTATGACTTAGTGATTAAAGGGGAGAGAAGGAGATGGTATAAGGTTCAGACACAAGCTTTCAGAAATGAGGAATAACTTAACCATTTGAACAACTATATAAAAAAATTTATTTTATAGTATAGCTTTCAGATATAAATGCACGCCAAGTAGATAAAATTTTGTATTAGATAAGAATCCTAGTCGCGATTTATGAGTATGAAAGCATGGTTGTGAGTTATCCAAGTAGCAATGAGATGTTAAAAAAAAGCAAAAACAAAAACAAAAACATAAAAAACCGAAAAAGACATTAAATGAAAGAGTAAGGAACCATGTATTATTGCCATGACAAAGGGGCCTTGAGTGAGTTTGAGTTGTTGCCTTCTCCCAAACGAAGAGTCTCTATCAATCGTGGCTAGCTACCAAGTAATAAGTCGTACACATTCATGTCTAACACCCAAAAAAAAAAAATCAATAATAATAATAAATTAAAAAAATAAAAAACATTTAATAAAATGTTCAGTATCACATCTTGGTCCGACATGTGATCATGTAAATAAATGTGGGTAGGAAAGTTAGAATTTAGTACACAATTTGAAGTTGACTAATCCAATCATGAGAAATATGAAAACCATGTATTATAATTAAATATAAAGAAAAATTACTTAAATTTTGATGAGATGTATACATAACATAACTAAAGGATTAAGCTATGTTGATAGAGAAAAGAATGGAAAGGATAATAATATTAGTTATGAAAGAAAAGAAAATCAATGAAAGAAAAAGAGATATAGTGTTAATCACGTACCATGTTTGATTAATTAATAAATAAATAAGAAATGATAGTAATGAAAAAATAAAGAAAGGAAAAGAAACTATATTAATGAATCTACTAACATATCATTTTTTATACATTTTGTTTTTTTAATAAAATTAAGGATAAATTTGATATTAAAAAAGTTTAATTAAAAATTATAACATTTCTTTTCATTTTTGAAAGGGTAATAAAGCCAATCCAACAAGTTTTAATATATCCTCTCAAATCCTTCCATTTCTTTTTTTTTTCTTTTTCTTTTATTGCTTTTTAATCAAATTGGAGCTTAATTTAAATTATATCATTTAAATGAAAGGTTGAATGCTAAGGTTTCCGAAAGGTTGAATGCTAAGGTTTCCTATAAAACAAATAATTTATCTACTAAAGAAATCTACATTTTACTTAGATGAACCAATCACATTCCATTACAACCTAACCCTAATTCCTTGACACGTCCTTCTCTACCCCATGAATCATAGATGGATGCACCTCACTAAAATCATTGCCCATACCACCGACCATGTCACCAAATCTTTAATGCCTCAAAACGTTAGATATTTTTAATATTTCATGGTGGGCTTACGTATATCATTATATATTTATTTTTTGAATGATAAATTGAATTCACATTATATATATATATATATATATATACTTACTTGTCTACTCATCATACCATGATTGCAAAATCAGGAAATAAGGACATTAGATGGGATGATTGAATTTATTTTTAAAAAAATTATTATTTTTATTTATCATTTTTTAAATTTTGTAATCACATATTATTTATGTATTTGTGATTGGGAAGGAATGACTTATTGACATGTGAATAGGCAAGTAAATAAAAAATAAAATAAAAAAAGAAAAAAAATCTTTTATTTTGAAATTTAAATTAATTCATCGATTAAATATGTTGAGATCAACATTGAAAAATATTCTATTATAAAATATTTAATTTCAACTCCCAACTCAAACCTTAGAGAGGGAATGATTTCATGAGAATTTGCTTTTATTTTCTTATTATATATTTTAATTTGTGTATGGCTAGCTCAAGACTAAGCTGTCCCCACAAGAAGTCAAAAGGATTCCTACCTAGCTGTTATAGATAAAATAAATGTAGGGCTATTTTTGTACTTTTAGCCCTTCATTTTCAAGTCGTTTGAATTAATGAGAGGACTTAGTGGGGCCATCACAAAATTTGACAGTAATTAAAAAGTCCATCATAAAATTACTGAATATCCTTACATTAATTTTGTCCATAATCAATTAACAGAGATTTTGATCCTTAAAAAAAATAATAATAAATAAATAAATAATAAAATTATTGATCCTTTTAAACATTTTTTTTTTTAACACATTCATGTTTTTTTATTCACACACTCAAATTTGCTCCAATATAAATAAAAAATATCACTAAATTACTGCATTTGGAAAAAAAGAAAAAACCCTTTACTCATTTCAGTACCAACTATTTTTACATCCAATTTTTTAAATTTAAGTTCATGTTTTTTTTAGCTCTAATAAATGTCAATTTGCCAAGTATGAGAGTATGAACAGAATAGGTTCGGGTTGGGCTTCGATTAAATATTTTATATCTTTTTATTTTTAAATTTTTTATTTTTACAGACTTTTCATATTTACTGAATCATATTACATATGATAAAAAAATTTACTATCATATGTGAGCTGTAACCTTGTAGGTTTATGAACTCTCATTGCCTATCATTTTCAATCTTTTATTTTTTTAATCTAAAAAGTGTTTATTGCCTCTGATGTTTCTAGATCGTTGTCGGTTATCTAAGGAAATAAATAAAAATTCTATTAAACAAAGGGCAAAAATATGTAATGACTCTTTAACCCCCAAACGAAGGGTATTAAATAATCCAAGTCAGTAAGTTTACAGTTGCAAATCTGTCTTAATCCAGGGTTGTAAAAGTAATCATCTGATTCTTTCAATAACTAGAGAGAGAGAGACTTTGAATTTGAGAGAGAGAGAGGGGGGAATTTGAGTAAGAAGATTGAGATATATATACAGTGTGTGTTGTGCGTGTAAAAGTGTCGATTTCGTGGTACATTTCAGAGCTGGGGCTTACTTGAAATTTTGTATTTTTCTTCGACCTAGGGTTTGTTTTCCGGGACTGTGGAGTCTCTTTGAGTTCTTACTGTGTGTATATGTCGGTGTATATATATACATAGATTGGTGTCCGGCAATTACGGCGAAAGATGGTATTTGTCAATTTCTTTATCTATTTAATCAACTTTGGTGTCTGCTGTCTCCTTCCTCTTCTCATAGATGAGATCTACATGCATGTTGGTGGAACTAAGTAAATTTAACTTCCATTTTTAGAGAGAGAAAGTAGAGAGGAGAGAGAGAGTTCATCCCCCAAGTCACACTCACACATGGTATTGAAATTTTAGCAAGCTGTGAATTAAGTCGAGTTTGGGAAGAGTCTCTATCGTAGTAACTTCGCGCTTTCCTTTCTCTCTCTAGGACTGTGAATTTAATGAATAGTTAATTGGGGTTCTTATTTTGTACAGAAATTAATTAAATATTATAATAGTTTGAATCCATATCGACCCTCCTAATAAGCACAAGTGTTTACTGCATTCTTAAAATATGTGGTTTCCATACATATATATATATATATATATATATATAGTATGTATTGAATTGTATCTCATGTATGCTGATGAGAGAGGGATAGTCTTTCACGGGCGAGCTGTGTCGTGATTGGATCCATATACAGAACCCCGTATTCTCTCTCTCTAAAATCAGAAGCCGCGTAGCTAAAGCTAGAGAGAGAAGACAAAACAGAGGTTGTGCCGTGACTACACATGGAAACCGCATCATAATAAGCTGAATTTCGGGGTTTTGCTCTGACTTTCTCTATATTTCTCAGGTAGTGTTATCTTCTTTTAACTACTTGCTCTGTTTTTTCTGTTCTTTGTTGGGTTTTTTTGTGCGGTCAAGATGCCTTTTTATCACTTACATAGTTGGTTAATTTAAATGGGTTTTTGCTAATATATATGTTTGGTTTGAGGTAATTTGATTGGAACTGAATTTTATTTGAAACTTGCCCTTGTGTATACTTGGAAATCAAAGGGACTTCCCAGTGATAAATCTCTTGTTATGGTTCTTTTAAATGTATGTGGTTTATCTGTCCCTGTTCTGATTTTATTCTTACAAGTCCTTGGAAAGTTTTTTTTTCCCCCCGAAATTTAAGTAACTTGGAAAGTTTAGTCTTCTGATTGATATGTGATATGATTGTTCTCTAAATCAACAGAATATATATGTGTGTGTGTTCCTTTGAAGTTTATGGATCTGGAATATGATTGTTCATTGTTTTCCTTCAAATTTTTAACACTTGATTTATTTCCTCTCATGTTTTAGCTCATTTCACTGAAGATCCTTGCTGGGTTTCTCATATTTTTCTTCTATTTGTTTGTGGACTACCCAGTTTGAAAAATGGCAAGGCCATTCCAGCGAGGTATATCCATTGGGGGGCGATTATCAGAGAATAACCATGATTTCTGGGATGATGACTCCCAGAAGAAAGACAAAACAGACAAGGAAGATGTTGATAGAACTCGCTCATCTTCTGATCACACATATTTATCCTTCAGATTCCCTCTTGGGTTACTTTTCGCGAATAATTCATCCTCCAAACATGGCATTAGTGAGAATGGTTTTGCATCGGAGCCCTTTAGCACGGGAACTTTGAGAAGTCGCCATAAATTAACTTTGTTTTTTCTCAAGTTCAGTTTAGTTGTTATTGTAATTCTTGCTCTTACTGGATCCTTTTGGTGGACATTATCAATCACGACTTCACCAAGAGGAGGTGGTCACGTATTTCATGGATATAGGCGGCTCCATGAGCAACTTGTATCAGACTTGAGGGATATTGGAGAGCTCTCTCTTAGTTCTGCAAGGTTGAAAGAATTGGATTTATGTTCTACAGAATCTGAGAATTATGCTCCCTGCTTTAATGTTTCAGAGAATCTTGCTTTGGGTTTTTCTGGAGGTGAAGAATATGACCGCCATTGTGAGCCCGGGTCAAGAGAAAACTGCTTGGTTCTTCCACCCGTCAACTACAAGATTCCTCTTAGATGGCCTACTGGAAGAGATGTCATCTGGGTTGCAAATGTTAAAATTACTGCTGAGGAGGTACTTTCCTCAGGAAGCTTGACCAAGAGGTGGGGGACACTGCTGCTTTCTTTCATTAAGAAACTCTTGTCTCAGGTCTTGAACTTAATCTGTTATTCCATTCCATGGGCTGCAGGATGATGATGTTGGAGGAAGAGCAGATCTCTTTTCGTTCAGCATCTCTCATGTTCGATGGTGTTGAAGACTACTCGCATCAAATTGCAGAAATGATTGGGCTACGAAATGAATCTAACTTTCTACAAGCTGGAGTAAGTGGACATGTCTTGCTTTTTGGATCATCATTGTCATCATAATCGTTGTTGGTGTCCTTCCCCATAGTCTGTTTTTATTTTACTGCAGCTCTTAAGGCTAGTGTTGACCTTATACTACAAGTAAAAATTCTAACTTGTTATCATATTTGCAACTTATGAGAGCAGTCACTTTGCGTAAATAATGCCAAAGGTTAGATTTGTATCCAATCCAACCCTCTCAGGATCCTCGATTAACGGGGACCACACTTCCTCCATTCAGGTTAGATCTGTGACCTTTGCCTGAATGTTGTGACACTGCGATTTGCAGTCTCGACTGGACCAAGTAAATGGTTCATTTTGTGGTTATCTCTAATTTCCAGAGAATTGATTCCAGTCTCACCTTGTTTTATATATTTATTAATTGATTTTTTTTTTTATTTTTTTTTATTTTTGCAATACTTTGTTATTTTTTAGTTGCAGAGGTTGGCAAAATGTGGTCTTGGTTCTCTTGCTATCTATATGATTTTATGCTTGGGCATCTAGTATTTAATGATGTTTATGTGATCAGGATTATATGACAGGAATTTGCATGCCCAATGACATAATTGTGCTCGTGTTGAATTTGGACCAAGTTTTGATTGAAACATCTACTTGTTGTTTAATAAATAGATATTTGTGCTCTATCAAACACATGGAACTCCTCAAACCAGATATTGTTGTAGTTAATGGTCTGTAATCTATCTGTCATGTCTGCAATGATTAGCAAATACTGGTTTGGGTAATCACAGAAGCATGTAGGTGTTTTGGAAGTAGATCCTTCTGATGGACGCAAAAGTTCTCACAGGCTGATACTTTTACGTCAATTTTTCAGGTTAGAACCATCTTGGATATCGGATGTGGTTTTGGTAGCTTTGGAGCACATCTCTTCTCAAAGCAACTGTTAACTATGTGTATCGCAAACTATGAGGCTTCAGGCAGTCAAGTTCAACTGACCCTTGAAAGAGGTCTTCCTGCAATGATTGGTTCTTTTTATTCAAAACAGTTGCCATATCCATCTCTTTCCTTTGATATGTTGCACTGTGCACGATGTGGTGTTGACTGGGACCAGAAAGGTATCATTTTTAAGCTACTCATGAAATTAATAATTCTAGTATGTCATTCACGCATAGTAGATGCATATACCTGCACGGGCAAACATACTATTTTTTTTTTTTTCTTTTCGTGTGTGTGTTTGTGATCTGCAGCACTAAAGAGAAGATACTACCGTCAGTATACTACGAAAACAAATTGAGAGAGACTTGTATTATAAATATTACAAATATTGGGTAATATATATCATCTTCAGTTCTTACAATTTCAAAGTACTTTTCTAAAGAACGATATTACAATTTCAAAGTATTTTTCTAAAGGATGATAGTACAATGAAGTGCGCCTTACAGCAAAACTATCATGTATGATAAAACAAGGTAGATACTGTATGTTGTGGTGGTTTGAGCCTATGTTAAATGGACTCTCTTATTTTCCTTCGCATACCCGTGTTGACATGACACAACATGGGTATGGGCATGGGTACAGAATATGTCTGACACAAATCCAAATTAGTTGTCTAGATCATGGCATCAATAAAGAAGAGAGAGAACTCAAATCTAATAGCAAACATGAAATTCTTATCTATGAGATAGGTGGAAACCCTTTTATTTTACTACATCCCATTTAGTTTGAGTAATAATTGACTATATTCTTATATTCTAACAATGTTAAACATTACACTATAATAAAACATATAATGTATCTAAACGTGTGGTATATGCCTATGTAAATGTTTTCAAATTTCAGATACATTTCCCCAATATCTTAAGATTTGATATTCAAGTAGGTCTGACACTTGGACACAGACCAGCACCCAATATAAAATAGGTTTGAGCAACAAAAATGGGTTATGTCAGCTGTGGTTTTGAGTTTGCAATTAATAATTGGAAAATGATGTAATTTTAATCAATGCCTTGGTCTACCATATTACTTCTACTCTCGGTTTGATATGTTACATTTCTTATTTATTTTTTCTGCGGAACAAGAGATAGAACCTGTGTTCTCATCCCTGTGGTAAAGACCATCTATTTGGACCACTAAGTTTTTGAGTATTCCTTTCTTACATTAGCTCGGCCTCATTTGAAAGTTTTCAGTGCCTGTTAAAATTTTTAATCAATATTCTTTCCTCTCAACTTTCTCAGAAACATTTTCCAAGTTAACAATGTACCTTACTAGCCATCAATAACAAACAGTTATTGGTACTAGAGACATGTTTTCCAGGTTGGGTATCTTTCGAGAGTATACGTTTCTTCGTGTTGAAAAATGATAGAATTTAACTCTATATGGTGGTTCTGTTGTGCTGTGAGAAAGCGGAGGTAATTGTGGAGCCAAAACCATTAAAAATAAAATAATAATAATAATAATAATAATAATAATAATAATAATAATAATAATAATAAAAGCAGAGTAATTGGTTTTGAATGTTTTTCCAAATTAAACTTCATTCTCTGCTCTGGTGAAGACTAGATTGCCGAGATTAAATAAAAAGTAAGTCAAAATCTTGTTGCAGAGAGAGGAAGTTGTCTCTTGTAGTCATGGATGATTGAAATTGCAATTCTAGTCATAATTTCAGGTCCTATCTAATCTGTAAGCTAAAATCTTCCACCCGTCATAATTTGGTACATATCTTCCGTTTGTTGAGTTCAGGTGAATATCCATATTTGATTGCATATATTTCATATAAAAAGTTCCCAGGTTCACATTTACCCAATTCATTGTTTTATAAGCATATTCTCCACTTTACTATCTTATGTATTGACCAAAAAAAGTAAATTCATCTGGGTAGGAGAGCAGTATTCGATGAGCACTTGAACTGTTTATCTAGATTCTTGTGGAGTGGTCTAGTGTCTGGTAACTCTGCTCTACAATTGTTTTTTTGAAGATTCATTGGCCATGTCATTGGTAAAGGTATTTCATAAACCAGCCTTAAAGTAGTTTGGATTTAAGACTTTGTTGAGTTGAGTTGAATAGATTTTTTTAGTTTCTATTCAGAATAGTGATGCTGTTTTTGTTTTCCTAATTTTCTTTATTTCAACTTTGTATGCTGAATGGGTAGCTGCACTAACATGACTTTTTGTTGTGGCAAGTGGTGATGCATTGCATGCAAGTCCATAAGCATTGTTGTTGACGATGTATAAGCCAGTTGTCGAACTTCATTTTCTTTAGGTTCATCTTGGAAGCTACTGAAATATTTAGTATAGATAAATACCCAATTGGTGAACAAGGTTATAGGATCCTATTGCTTACTTATCAGAATAAGATTTGTAGTTTTTGTTGGCCGGTTGTTACCAGGGAGTCTGATAAACTGAATCCAAACATCTTCTAAAGTTTCAAGAATTGTAATGATTCCTTTTGGTTGGAAAAAAAAATTGATTGCTTTTGGGTGGAAAAAAAAATGATTGCTTTTGGCTCCCCTAAGGCATGTACTCCTTAGCCTCAAGTCGTTTGCAAATTTAGCCCTTCCAAGTTCCATCACTTGTTTAACTTCTACCATAAACAAACAGATAGATGTGATGCATAAATCCTTTATTACTATTAAATTACATAATATTTAGTTGGTTTCTTAGCATTGGATGACTTGATCACTCTCTGGATTCAGGATATTGTATTTTACAATTGAATTTTTCCTGATGCGTGCAGATGGTATTTTTTTGATTGAAGTTGACCGAGTCTTAAGGCCTGGTGGATACTTTGTCTGGACTTCACCACTTACAAATGCTCAGGGCTTCCGTCGCAACAAAGAGAATCAGAAAAAATGGAATTTTGTGCGCAATTTTGCTGAAAATCTCTGTTGGGATATGTTGTCGCAACAAGATGAAACCGTTGTGTGGAAAAAGACTACTAAAAGGAATTGTTATGCTTCAAGGTGAGATGACCATCATGATTAGTTTTAACTTGCTTTGGTGTTTAAATTTTAATATGGGCATTGATGTTGGTTGAATACACCTGTAATATGCACTGATGGCAATATAATCATGGAAGTGGTAGGTCATTCTAATTTGTGTATAAATTTCTATTTATAGGAAAGCTGGATCTGGTCCTTCTATCTGTAGCAAAGGCCGTGATGTTGAATCCCCATATTATCGAGCACTCCAGGACTGCATAGGAGGTACTCAAAGTCGTCGATGGATTCCTATAGAAGAAAGGACAACCTGGCCTTCTAGGTCTAAATTAAACTCAAGTGAACTTGCAATTTATGGTAATTTTTTCATCACTTCACTGAAATGGCTTTGTATGCAGAACCTTGTCTGAACAGTGTATTGTTGGAGAAACAATCGGGTTATATTGGCACTCAGGATACACTCGTTCTGTTTCATTTGTACTTCCTTGTATATATGTTAGCAACAATGTAATGATTCTCATGTTCTATCAGGTCTGCATTCAGAAGACTTCGCCGAGGATACCCAAAACTGGAACACAGCAGTTCGTAATTATTGGTCCCTTCTCTCGCCAATAATATTTTCAGATCATCCAAAGAGACCTGGTGATGAGGATCCTTCTCCACCTTTTAACATGCTCAGAAATGTGCTAGATATGAATGCCCATTTTGGTGGTTTCAATTCCGCTTTATTGGAAGCTGGGAAATCTGTTTGGGTCATGAATGTGATCCCTACAAGCGGGCCCAACTACCTTCCTTTAATTCTCGACAGAGGATTTGTTGGAGTATTGCATGACTGGTAAATTTTACCTTCTTTGTTTTTTTTTAAAAAAAAAAACTCATTGCCTTCAATAGGTTGACACATGCTACTAAATTTTTTGACATTCTTGCTTGACAGAATTTATAAGCCATGATTTAAAGGACTATTCATTTTGTTGCCTCTGTCCATGGAATGGTGAAATATTGAAGCATAAGCTAGCTTAGATTAGATGCTGAAGTATTGGCTGCTGATACCCAAACTATTTCAGAGATTTATCTGTTAATAATTTGCTTTTCCTGGAGTAATAAAACATTTTTTTCTCTGAAGGAAGCATGATGTTTCTGCATTATTTATGCCTCTTATTGAGCTTGATGCAAAACTTTGTATCATCAAAGTACCTCGGCCTGATTCCTAGTCACTAAACTTATAACTATTATCCATGTTGATCAGATCGGTTTTTAGTTGAACTAATTAGTGGGTGTATATATGACAATCCCATATTTCAGAATGTTGACTCTCTGGACACTAGCACTTTACAAGTGTAATTACACAATTAAGATTATTCGGAATTTTGGAGTTGGTGAAGAAAAAAGTTGAGATAATCAAGGAATAAATTTGATATTGAGATATCATTCATGTTAAGGGAAAAAAGAGAGGACATGTGATTGTTTGTACTTGTATATTCCAGATCATTAGCAATTATGCATGACTTTTAACTATTTAATTTTGAAATATTTGTCTGTAATTGAGAATTTGAGATTCTTTTAATTATATGGGATGAACTCTTTTGGTCATGCACTTGGTGAAAAGGGAAAGATTGCAGTACCAAACTCGATACCTGTGATTTACAAACCCTAGGTCGTCACGTTTTACTTTCTACTTTACATATCCCCATTCTTGGATTGCTGTAATTAGTGTAGTATGCTCTTCTTCTCTCTATAGTTTTGTGATTTATGTATGATCGGAATTTTTCTCATTTAGGTGTGAAGCATTTCCAACCTACCCAAGAACTTATGATTTGGTGCATGCTGAAGGACTTCTGTCACTTGAAACTAGTCAACATCGGAGATGCACCATGCTGGATCTATTCTCTGAAATAGATCGGTTACTTCGGCCAGAGGTACCTTAATCAGTTGTCTTTTTTTCTACATTTCTTGTTTGGTTAAGACGCATTGATATCTTTATTCATAAGAATAAAAAGTATCTATTTGAGGGCGGAATAACTATGGATAAGGGTGAAATAATTAGTTGGATGTGCCAACTGATAAGTATCCTGATGTTAATTTGCCAAATAGAATCTGATGACTACCACACCCCTGGAAAGTTGATAAAATTGATAATTCTTTACAGAGCGAATAGAGATAACATCTCTAAGCTTTTAAGGACTGTGGAAGGTAATGTCATAGATGCTTAAGAAAATAATCATGCGATCATTTATGTTGATGAAAATAATGTGATAACACACGTGCATAACGATACCTATAACCTAATCTAAATGGTGGTGATTATCGTCTTTCACATAACAGATCTGATGTAGTATGGAGACTGCTGTATAACAAGTGCCATGCCATTTTCTATTTGGTTATGTTCCCACAAATGTGATATCTAGTGCTGTTGGAACTAAATAAACTTATATTTCAACTATGTCTTAATACACCATTATATGTATAAACACACCCTCAGTTACCTCTGAATATATTATTATTGCTGCCATAGCTGTTGTAGCAAACAAGTAAGCACTAGAAAGCAATCCAAAGGTGGCATCAGGGTTCAATTCTTGTAGCCATCAATAAAAAAAACATATATTTTTTTAAGGAATAAACTAAATCCTAATGAAGAAATTTATTTACCTCCGAATATATTAATTTCTTGTATATCGTCACCTTTTTTTTTTTTCAATCAAGAATTTTGTTATGCTCCGAGTTTCTGGTATGCATGACTTTGACTTGTGAGAAACTTCTGCTTATATAATCCCTCCCCTAATATTAGAATTGCCAGGCATGGTAACTCTCTGTTTCTCTACTTAAACTGCTTTGTGATAAATTTGCTAATCTTGATGGGGTTGGTGCAGGGGTGGGTGATACTCCATGACTCTGCTTCTCTCATCGAAACTGCTAGAGCTCTCGCTGCACGGTTGAAATGGGAAGCGCGAGTCGTAGAGATTGAGAGCAATAGTGAGAAGAGACTACTCATCTGCCAGAAGCCTTTCTTTAAGAGGCAAGCAATCTAATTGTGAACTCGAAAAGAGAGCCCAACAGTGTTAGTCATAATATTCATATTCATTTGTGGATCTGAGCTAATCATCATAAAGTTTCTCCATTGGATTGAGAATCAAATTTTTTTTTACAAAAAGAGAAAAGCAAAGCGCCGAAGGAAATGGATGGTTCGAACCGGAACCAACCACTACTCCTATGGAGCCGTAAGGCACACATAGGACCATGTAATTACACATCGAGTCACAGGGTGAGTTACAAGTATAGGATTATATAAATTTTTTTCCTTGTAATGTCTCTTTATAACTATACAACAACATGATGGAATTATATTGTGAAGAAAATTACAGAATAAGTGCTATTTGCTATAGCATATTCAATACTTGCTGTGCATTTATGGGGAGAAATTTCGTCTCCATTTTCTGTCCTTTTTCATGTCTTTTTCGAAATCATTCATCTATGTTGTAGAAACATTTCCAATTTTTTGCAACAAAGACTTGGATCTTTTCTTTTGTATATATTTGGAATTAGCTAGTGTAGCTTGTAAAGAACACACACACACACAAATGTCTTGTGATTCTTATGGTTAAGGTCGATGATAGAAGTAAGTTATGGTACCTACCAACCCAAAGAAACAAAATTTATGGTGCTTACCATTACAGGTGACAGGAATGGGGTATCTCATTGATTTCATGGTTGGAACTTTTCTGTGATAAAAGTAAAATGAATGCATTAACAGTAAAAGATTTGTATGTTGATGGCCCACTATGATATGATTGTACTAGGATTTGAGGTATCAGATATGGAACTACTCTGCTGTAGTGAAAATTTATGTCATTGAAGTGTCCTTCAGAATGGGGTCAGAATCTCTTTCCTTTATGGGGAGAACCTTTTTCTTTTTCATCTACCAACCTTTGTAGGTGCTTTATGATGATTAGTTAGGTAAATTTATATTATTAAAAATGCATTAACTAAAAATAAATAAATAATGTTCTCAAACTCAAATAATGTATGAATCTTTTTAGAATGAATTGAAATTGATTTAGTAATTTCTCACCCTACATCCTTTTAAAATATGCTAATCAACATAAGTTGAGATCAAGTCATCTCTACTCTTTCACAAGGTTTAAAATAATAATAATAACAATAAACTTATCCAAATTCATAGACTTTTCCACGAGGATTTGGACTTAGCAGAGAATTAATCCATGGGATTGTCCTATCGGACGATAATTCAAACTTTGGTACTTCATGAAGTATCAGATCTTAGGTTTGAGTATTTGAATAAATAATTTTTGTGAATCACATGAGTTAAGTTGTAATCAGAACTTGCTCGGTGCACGGAAGTTGTGAAGTGTTACAGTGTGTCCGGAGGTGGATTTGCCCCCTTAAAGATAAAGGGACTTGGGAGAGAATGTTGAAATTATGCAGTTTTCCAAACAAGCAAAGACAAATATCATCAATCAAAGTATATCTGGTTTTGGGGTCCACTAGTTTCAAAAGCTGTGACAAGTGGGTCATCTTTGCGAGGGTTGAAGATTTCAGGACTAGATTTATTGGGCTTATTTGGACCCATCCAGCTATCCTTATATTCTTGTCTGGACCGTGATTGACTTGAATCCAAATATTTGGATTGAAGCAACCGAAAGAAAATGAAAGGTAAAGCGATGAGGGCTAGTGTTAGAGGTGTATCACATCCAGATGAGAAGTGAAATGCATATATATATGGATGAGTATATATCACTATTCAATATATTAAGTTTTTGGGTTAGAAGATAAGCGTTTGATCCGTTGCAATTGATATTAAAATCGTCCAAAATTTGACGTCACGCCAATGCTCAACCCATGCCTGGGTTGTTGGAAAACGGGTCTATACGAAAAGTTTTAAAAGTTGTTAACATGATCCTAATGTATAATATTAAGAATTCATTCCTTGTTCGAAATTCGAAGACCGGCGATAAAAAATAATCTTTATGCGATTCGATCCAAATTTTCAAAACGGGTACTGGACTGCTTCCAAAGTTTACCACAAGCTAAAACTTTTCGTTAACTTTCCAACGTCACGGGGAGCTTTGAACTTTTTGTTGTGTGTGGTTCTATCAAATCGTATATGACTTGTACTATAGCACTCATATTAGGTGAGTTTGGATGGGGAAAAAATGTTAGGTTTCCTATATCAGATCCGAATGAGAAGTGAAATGGGTATATATGAGTGGGTATGCATCATTACTTAACAACTTGAACTTTTGAGTCAGAAAGCAAGCTTAGGCTTAACGAAGATTAGTTGTCCTTCTCTTCAATAAATATTTAACAACTTTTTAGTTAAAGGCAGTTATTGATCATGTGAGACGAAAATCGTATGTGTCTAGCAATAAATTATGGGGGTATTCTACGAGGCTCAACACCACCATGGTTGACAAAAAAAAAAAAATAAATAAATAAATCAATAACTTGGACATTGCAATTTTGGTGGATGAGGAAAGAATGAAGAAGGTGGATTTGGATGAGAAGGAGAGGGTTGTTTTATGATTAAATAATCTGCAAATGGTCCATTGTATGAATACAACAAGCTAGGCATCTGTAATTCTGTATCTGGGACAATTGTGTTATGCTTCTGAATTGAAATCATTCTTAGTTATTTTATTTGATTTTTATTGTTCTTTAGTGAGAAATAGAAATAAAAATAAAAAATAAAAATTGCTGACATTAATATAATTTATCGAATGGATTTTTTTTTTTTTTTTTTGTAGCAAGTAATTCCTAGCTTCTTTTGGTGATGGGTTTAGAATTTATTAGAAAACATATTAAATATGATTTATGGCTCTGGAACGTCTAATATATTGTCTCTTGTGCTGAATTTTACCTAAGTTGTTTACTAAGTTCGGTTAGGATTAGCATGGTATTATTTTGTGTCTTTATGCAATATATTTGTGTCATTCTCATCCCGGTCACCTTCTGATTAGCTTTGGCTGACATGTCCCCAAATCAGTATCATGCTGATTGAAATGTTTACAGCACATGACTCAGACCTACCAATCTATATATATATAGGTAGGTAGGTATGTAAATTCGATTTTACCTTACTATAATCTTTAAAGCCTCCTAGCCCTTCTCCTTCGCTTGTTAGGGATTTGTTAATCACTCTTTTTGTTGATTTGGTTGGGATATCATGCAAACAAACAATAAGGAAAACAAAAAACATTCACAAAAGTTAACACATGATTTGCTGTGGTTTGATATAAAAAATCGACTGAGTGCGTCGAAAATTTCAGTATAAATAATATGTTAGGTAGTTGAACGAGTCCCACATCGATTAAAAAATAAAAAAATCTGAAACTTATATGGGGTAAGGATCATTCCACCTAATAGGTTATAATTTTCCTTTGACGGAAAGATGAGAAGGGAGCCTCGTTGAAGGGACCGATGATGTTTTTGGTATTATATAGGTGGTATCATTTATTAGTTAATCTTTTTGGTTGGGCATCCACAAGCCCAACAATAATAACGAGTGTTTACAAAGAACTCTTTGATGTGTTGTTTTCTCAGTTTCTATCAAAATCTCTAGCACCACAGTACAATGAAGCACCACACAGTTATCACACACGCTAAGATTTGTACAAGACTCGGCATTTATCTGGAAATAAACATTTTCTCACGAAAATAAAAAATAAAAATTTACTAATATGTGATTGCGCAAGGATCTTAGATCCATGTCATAAATTTGTACTTTCAAGTTTGAGAAATTTTTAAATTGTCCCAGAACCATTGGTCCGGGCCAATTATCATTACACACCTAAATAATAAAAAAAGCTTAATAAAACTTACACAATTTTTAACACAATTGATTACTTATCCTGCGATCATGTAATAACTTCTCCTAGGGTTTGCTTAGGAGTATGAATTCACATTAATTCATTTGTTTAGATGTAAAATATTTTTTATTTATAAAATATTTTATTTATTTATTTTTTGGGTCAAATATTTACTAAAAAAAAATATTAAAACTTAATAAAAATAATTTTTCTATCAATTTTCGACAAATTATTTTACACGCTCCTCAACCTTGACTTAGACCTTTTCTAAATACCAAAAAAGTAAAAATAAAAAGAATATTTTACTTGAAAAAGAAAAATATTTTAAGAGATAAAAACCCTATAAAAGAGATCAAAATTTATAAATAAACATAAGAAGCACTACAATTATTTCCGATCTCCAAGATAAACACTAAGGGAGATTTAACAACCAACCAAAAAATGAGAAAAAAAACAAAACTAGCTAACAAATGGGCTGGTTTATTCTCCAAATATAGAAACTGTATATTAGGTATATAGGTTGGACAATTATGAAGGACCACAAGATGATTAAATGTAGTGAATATGATCTGTTGATAGAGAAATCTTAGGTAGGTGTGAGACAAAAAAAAAAATCTCACAAGTCCAGCAATTTATGGCTTCAATCCCATACAACTTTAACACCACAGATTCATATTTCCTGTAATTGAACAACCAAACCAGACCCTCCTTCACATTCCCAAGTCCAATCACCTCAAGACTTAACAAAACTTAACACCTCCATACTTGGAAAAAATCAACATGCCATGGAAATTTGATGTTTCTAATACATTACAGCAAATCCATACAGGAGACATTTTTAACATTGAATTGCAACAAACCAATTGAACTCAAATTACAAGGAAGACAGTAGTTATCAGCCTCCAAACTAACTTCCATCTTTTGCTTGTCGAAATGCAAACAAAAAATTAACACCCTCAAATGTACCTTGAATTCTCAAGGTAGATTAGATTCTCCAAGAATGTGAGATGAAGAAGCAAGTGCAGCAGATGATTTATTGGTCTTTAGGGTTGAGTGGTGGCGAGATGCGCTTTTCGACCTGTGCTTGCTTTTCTGGGCAACATTGGCACTGCTCCTATAGGCAGTGGAGGAAGATGATCCACCTACACTACTCACCCTTTTCACTGTTCTTCTATGGGAGCTCCAATTGTTGTTCCCTCCAAGTGCAGCTTTGGCAACGCTTTCCCCAGCCACTTCTCGTGCCTTGTGTGGATTGATTGGTTGTTTGTTGAGGTAAACTAGCTTAGGGAGAAGACTGCAAATCGCCTTGCGCAGTTGGTCATCGCTTATATTGCTCTGGATTGGATTCCCCAACAGATTCAAACCTACAAGGGTGTTGTAGTTAGCCACAACCTGGCCAAGGGCTTTCGTTGTAGTTATTTTGTTGAAGCTCAAATCCAGGACAGTCAGCTTCAAGAGCCTATGCAGTCCCTCAACATCACTGATCTTGTTACCGGCAATGTATAGCTCCTTGATCAGTGTACAATTTGACAACCCTGATACCATTTAGCCATAGTCCTCATTAGTTGTATAAAAATCAGTTAAAAGAAATCATTTACTACGTAAATTAAAAGGACTTCAAATTCAAGATCACAGACTGCCATTAATCCTTACCCTGCCCAATTCGAGAAATACGGTTGTAACTGAGATCCAGTACACGCAGCCGAGTTAATTCTCTAAAGCCTTCAATTGTGCTGATTTTGTTTCTGGACAAGTTGAGGGTGTGAAGACCCTTTGGCAGAGAACCAGGAGTAATATGAACTGCAAATTGAGAAAACAAGTGAGCAGTCAGTCAGTACCATCTCTATTCAAAATCATTCTCCAAAAACTACTATTAATTAGTTTGATTACACACACACACCTATTAGGTTGCCTGATAAGTTGATAGATCGAAGACTAGAGAAGCGTGAAATGGTGGGGATAACTTTCAACCCGATTCCCGATATGTGAGCCACCTTTGAGGAAGAATTCAGTGACTGGATAACATTATTGGCATGTACAATTTCCTCCGGAAGATTCATATCTTGATGCCGAAATGTGCTTCTCCCACCAGCACTGGGAGAGGGTGGGAGGGCAATGCCACCATAACTGTTGTCATCATCGTTAACCCGGGGAGGAGATTGAGTTGCAAGTTCTTTCACCCACTCGTCCACCCTTGTTAATGACGATTCAGTAGGGAAAGCAACCCACTGGTTCTGTGTCAACAAACCAGAAACTCCACCCTGAAAAGCTTCCCAGCTCTGGTAGGCGTTGTTGCCTTTGTCTCTGTTCAACGGTTCTTTGGTGAATGATCTGGGTGATTCCAACTTGCTTAACTCCATATATCTACTTGGTTCCAGAGTATCTGAAGAGTATCCGCCCTGTTGGTTCAAAGCATGCTTAATAGGAGGCGTTGGTGGTTTCGCAGTCCGTGGGGTTTGCAGGTTCCTATGGCTCCAAAGAAACAATTTCCACCAGAGTCTTCTACTCCTAGAGGGTAGTATTTGACTCGAAGAATGCTTCTTCAACATCACTTTGTCAGCACTAAAATGTGTAGTTTCAGACCTTGGGCTGCCATGATTCCCCAAAACAATGTCATCCCTCAACTTTTCAGCCATTCTGTGCATTTCTTCGAAAGACTGAGAATTCTTAAGAGGCAACTGATCAGACATCTTCTTGAGTATGTAGTCCGTCTCCAAATTAGAGCAAGAGCGCTTAAGCTTTGGAGAGGCCCAAAACTCTGCCTTCCCAATCCCCGGATCGCTAACATGTCCACTTTGCATCATATCAACACCCTCTTCAGCAAGTTTCTCAATTTTATTCACAAATTGGTCATCTGTCTTGGTATCAAATGACCCAAAAGAATTCACCTTCTGGTTCATTGATTGATCATTTCCTTCATTTGACACACGCGCTTGGAGATCAAAATCAGAGTAGTCCCTCTTCATTGACAAATTGTCATCGTGCTCATCTTCCCCTTCATAAGCTACCTCTACTTCATTGTGTTTGACAGGACTCTCGAGATTCATTATCTTGTTGCACCTAGAACTCCCTTGTATTTCAAAAGGTATCGAGACACAAGAAACTGATTTCAAGTCCTCAGTTTTGGTAGAAGATTTCACTGGGTGTTCAAGTCTCAGTGGCAAGGTTTTAACAGCACTTAAAGATTTCTTATCTCCCTACAAACAAACAATAAAATGAATGTGAAAAAAAAAAAAAAAAAAAAAAAACAAAACAAAAAATTAGCATCCCACACAGTAAATATCTCAAACAAGTTGTAAGCAAACAAAATTCAAAACAATTGGATTGAAAAGCACATTTGATCGAATGACTCTCACCTTATTCTTCTTCTTCTTCCCAACCGGTGAACAGAAGCAATTGAATTTTGCCATTTTAGATGATGGGTCAATTCACTCAAAATCCTTTGCACGGAATAAGAACAGCTCAATTTTCTTTTGGGGGCTTTTCTTCCTCCTTTTTTCCACACTCACATGTCCTCCAATGGATTAAAATTGAGGTTTCAAACAGATGATAAAAAGGGGATTCTTCACAAGAAGAGTCGGGGTTGAATCAAAAGTTAGCCGTAATCAATGGGCAACCGCCAAACCAGTGACAGAGCCCAAGTGGACAAAGACAGCCACGACAACGACGGCGAAGAAATCTGACCGGAAATGGAAGTAATATTGAGGCGAACCCTCGAAACCCACCTCAGAGAGCGAGAAGAATTCTCTTGAGAGTGGGCCAGAGTTATATCCCCTGCAACTTCTTCTCTTTACAAGCTTCACCAAAAAAATTCCTATAAATTGAAGAGAAAGAGAGAGAGAGAGAGAAAACATATTACAAAAATTCCATAACCACAATGAAATTAATTTGGATCCTCTACCGTAGAGACTTTAAACGTAGTTAATTCGTGTTTCAATACATTAATTTTATCGGTCGAGACCTAGAACAAATGTGTTGAAAATCTCTGCTGACCCACTACAGCAAAGAATTCAGACGCCATTGAAACGACCTGTACAGAACCTTCGGTCTAATTCGCATAACATACCAAATACATATAATAACTCAAGAAGAGAGAGATGAAATTTCATCCGTCGAGGTCTAGATGAAATTCTCTCTGCTAGTGATTTAAGGTACAATGAATGCAAAAGGTGAAACATGGAGTCTTGATTTCAGAGAAATATATAGTTTTTTCACTTAAAAATGAAGAAAAGTAGTGAATGAACCAGCACAGTATACACATATATGTATATATATGTATATGCATATTTACCTGGAGCAGAAGCATCGGTGTGTTTATCTGCCAGATTGAGCTCTGAGAATGAAACTTTCCCGATATTATATACCCCGTTCAGATCGTAGAGAACTCGCAATATTGTGAAGGAGAGAGAGAGAGAGAGAGAGAGAGAAAGAGGTCGTTGGGAGGAAGTTGGGAGGTGAAGCTGGAGGAGACTAGAAATAGGCAGTGACATTTGGTACAGAACATACGCGCATATTACACGGTCTACGCAAACATTACTATATTAGATAATAATTGAACTATACATACATACAGATATATAATTATACTGTATATATATATATATAGTATATTCATACGTATTTGTACCTACTCTATAGATTTGGAGTAGTTAATAAATGAACAATATATTTTGAATTTCTGATAAAAATAAATAAATGAATGAATGAAATACATATACATATATATATATATATATAGTATATTTAAACGTATACAAATATATAGGATATCTCATGTACATTTTACTATCAACACTCGTCATGACTGGCGAAATTCCAAATTGACTCCAAAAGTATGTGATTTAAAACTAAAAGTATATATACCTTTCGTTGATTTAAAAATTTGGTAAATGTGACAAACGTGGATTGAGGAACTATTCTCTAAATGTAGACTTAACAATATACAATTAACTCAACTTGGCAAAGTTTTTAAAAATTATTCAGGGTTGGTTGCATACTTTTTTTTTTGTTTCATAATTTAGTCAAAGAAGTCTGGCCCAAGTATCTCCTCAACTTTGAAAGGTTAAGGATTGATTTAATAATTTGGTTAGTACAATGAGTATATAAGTCATTTGTTAAATATAAAATATAAACATATATAATGAAGTATTTTTAATTATCTCAAGTCATGGTAGTTTTATATATATTTTTTAATTGATGGTGGACATTGGCACAGCATTGAGGCTGCTCCATTTGTATCACAGGTTCGAAATAGGAAAATTTGTCTTTATACTGAGATAATATATATATATATATATATATATATATATATATATATATGACTTTCTCTAAATTCTGCAATAACAGAAACCACATGCATACAAGTGGACTTGTCTCATGGATTCGGATGAAAATTGAAATGTGTATAAATGGATAAGTATGCAGCATTACCCAATTGTTTAAGTTTTTGAGTAAATAAGCAAGTGCTTACCCATTATAGTTGGTATCGGAAGTAGACCTAATCTTTGATTTAGTGTTACGCTAAGCATCCGGCCCGTCTTCACTCTGAATAGGCAGGCCGGGTGGCCCGACCGCAACGAGAGCGTTGCACGGGTTCGGGTGAGGGAGAATGTTACAAGTGAGACTTGTTCCACATAATATTAGGAATTGAAATATATATAAATTAATAAATATATAGTTCTACCCAATAACTTAACTTTTTAAATAAATGAACAAGCGTGGACAAGTTACTATAACCTCAATAAAAATTACATCACTCCTCTTAGGCAGTGTAAGACTTTGTTATTTCAATACTCACAAACTTTGCTTATGAGATTGGTCACTTTCGACCAAGTTTCAATTGCATTTTTCAGTGTCGTAAGGAGACAATTAATTTTTTCAAAATTTTTGGTCCAATTGGACTCGAATTGAACTGGTAATTTCTATTATAGTGATTAGGTTCTTATTCTTAATTTTTCATTTCTTAGATGTACTTCAAAGTAAAAAGTTACACATTCATAAATAATATTTCAGTATTTTTTTTTTTTTTGGTAAACAGCTGTCATGTGTTTTAAAAGAATTAAAATGAGATAACCATATCAACAAATATGTGTGTGTATATATATACATATGTACACATATTATTTATATATATATATATATATTGAATATACAAATGAAAAGTTTTGCCTAAGAAAAAAAAAATCTTTGAAAAGAATTACTCCCACTGTCTCACTTTAGATGCATTATCTTTTCAATAAATTAATTTTTAATATTTTTTTATTGCATTAGTATGAATGAATTTTCAAATCTATCCTCTCTTTTGAATTGATGGGATTCAAGTAATGCTATTTTTGACTTTTATCATTTCAAAGCAATAACAATAAATTAAAAAATGCTCCAATAATATATTAATTTTTTAAATAAGAAATTACCGTGAAACAACTAAAAATTAAAAGATATACTATTAATACGGGGAGAAGGAGTAGTAATATCACCATATATGGACGTGTATATATATAAATTGAAGAGGGATGATACATACTCGTAGTACTATACCAAATAAGGAATTTGTGAGTGGACTGTGATTTTATCACCTAACATCAAGTGATAGGGTTCATACAGTTACTATCCCACTAGCATCAAATATCGATGATGTATGCTTTCTAAATTGAATAAATAAATAAATAGGAGAGAAAAGAGGGGAAAAAAAAAAAAAAAAAGTTTTATGGTCGAACGCAGTATGAACACGAAAATGATACGTTTTAAACACTTTCAGGATATACAGAAATAATATGTTTCAAACACTCTCAGATACAACAACTGATTTTGTAATTATTTTGTTTAAAAAAATAAAATTCAATACAATTTAAAATACATTATGAAAACAAAAATAACAACATATCTAACTTAGAAAAATAATATAAAATTAAAAAAAAAAACAAAAATAACAACATATCTAACTTTAAACTCCAAAATAATTATTTATTTATGATTATTTTGACAAAATGGCAAAAATATATACTATTATTTATATATATAAAAACATATACTATATTATATTATATATTTTAACATATTCATGTTGTATCTATGTCTTATTTTTTATGAAATTTATGTATCATGTATTTGTATTCGTGCTTTTTTGGGATAATAAATTCACCATGCAAAAGAAATAATTATTAAATATGCCGAGTGCACGATGCACGTAAAAGCCGTGCCCGTGCTATCAATATATACACCATGCCAAAGGAATAGTTATTGAATTTGCTGAGTGCATGATGCACATAAAAGTTGTGTTATCAAAACAGATATATATAGAGAGATATTTAGGAATAGTTATTGAATGTGCTCAGTGCAGTGTATGGTGCACATAAAAGTCGTATTATCAAGTTACATATATACAGAGACATTTAGAGAGAGAGAGAGAGAGAGAGAGAGGTGGGAAAAAGAATCTATGTTTATCAGATTGGCCCTGGCTCCTACTATGATTGTTTTAATATAAAAAATAAATATACATATATATATATATATATATTTGTGTGCATCGTATATCTTTATTACTGATATTATTTTCGACTAATTACTATTAAACATGTGAATAATTATATAATGATTCATCTAATAAAAAATTTTCCCTTCTCAACCTAACTTTATGCTTTATGGTAAAATACTCGTGACATAACAGGGCAGAGGAGTATGATGGCGGGTCCAACACATCACATGGGCTGGAGTTTGTAGTGGAGCCCACCAAGTACCGGTACGGATCCATGTGGCCACGTGGACAATTCCCCACGTCAAACTCCTTGCTTACGTCCTTGAAAAATGACGCCGCGTACGTGTCGGGTTGGGTTTTGATATTTCTGCCTATCACGGTTGACCCTACCCGTCTCGAAATCCAACGGTCTACCCACGAAGGAAGACGTACACATTTAGATGACAGCCTTTTGAAAAGTGGGATGACTTGTTAGTTAACTAGCCAGAGGGACCTCAGTCGTACAAGTCAAGGACACCTCCACAACTCCACTGTGGATTCAAATCCAACTCAAGTTATCCAATTCAGTTTGATTTTTATGTACCTTATATTTTCTTTTCTTTTCTTTTTTCGTTTTTTTTTTTTCAAAAATTTAAACAAATTTGCATTCAAGAAATGATATAAGGGGAGCTTATCTCACATTGGATCTAAATGAAAAAAATAATTAAGTATAAATAGGTGGATATACAGCACTACCTAATAATTTAAACTTTTGAATAAATAAGGAAGTATCCATCCGTTTCAATTGATATCAGAGTCAGACCCAATACTTAATCCGGTGTCACCAAAGACAGATGCAGGGGAGCTCGGGTGGACTTGAACCATCCTCACCAAATATTAGCCCATCCAAACAAGCCCAAAAATAAAGACCCATCCAAACAAGCCCAAAAATAAAGACCCAGCCAAACAAGCCCTAAATCCCTAATACATCAACTGATATAGATAGATACGTGTATGAACTACTAAACTTCTAAGTTTTTCGGTTGATAGACAAAAAAAACATCACAGCTTGCATTTGGAGAGGGAAGGGCAACAAGAGCATATGACCTCACTTAAATTTTTATTTAATATTAGCCCCCCATTAACAATTCCTAAATTCGCCATTAGGTGTCACACCAAGCACCCGCCCCCAAGGGTGTTCGGGTCTTCTCTCCAGGTAGGAAGTATGGTTCGAGCTGCAACGAGGGTGTTACTAGTTTAGGTAAGGGAGAATGTTATAAGGGAGAGCTTCTCCCACATCACATTAGGATGAAAAAATAATTAGATATAAATAAGTGGATATATAGTAATGCGTAATACCTTAAACTTTTAAATAAATGGACAAACGCCCACCCATTTTAACTATCCACTTAAGCTATAATTTATTAGCATGTTATTGTTACTCCATCCTAATTTATTCAAGCTTTTTTTGTTTAAAAATAATAATGTGCACGTGGATTAGTTGGACCTATTTGTTAAAATAAATTAATTAAGGTAATTCAAGTCAAATTAATCCACCTGCTAATCATGAACTTTAATTACTGCACTTTGACAAATAAATTAACTTTGACAAATAAATCAAAGTAGTTGGTGTGAATATCATGATGAGTGTTCCATTTCTCAAAAAATATATGGCCTTAATTAATTCACTTGACAAATAAGTCTAGCCGGCTAAATTTAAATATACAATTTAATATACAATCGTATATTAATTAAAGTTCATGATTATCCATCATGAAATTTAATATACAATTGTTATAATTTTAAAATTGCAAATAAGGACCCTAAAATTCTCTTGTAAAATCCTTTTTTTCAAGAAGTATTTAGTAAAGTTTGCAGATTTGAAATAAAAATAAATTTTCAACCTTAAATTTTAAAATTATTAAACCCTACACACAAAAATCGATAATTAAATGAAATCAAATTTCGGAGTATGAATCTTTTAGATTCTTTAAAATCCTAAATAGTATAAATCTTAATAATACAACTACCTAATAATCCTTTTTTCTTTTG